TGTGCGTGTGCGTATATATATGTATGTATACATATACATATATGTATATATATATATATATGTGTATATATCTGATGCAAAAACACATGGTCACACCGGCAAGTCTGATGCATTTCAGCCTGGGTTTGATTATACGCACAGACAGTCGCTCTGGTAACAGCATTAAGGGCGTTTTTTTAATCTCGAATACAGACAGGCATTCTGCTAATTCCTCAGCGTTTAATCTGTCATTGTGCTACGGTACGATAAAGTTAATTTTGATGGGAGGGAAATTTCTGTGCTTTGCTGGTAACTAATGGACGGTAACTATTGAAAAGTGATGATTGAAATTTTACGTAACTGCAAAAAATCCTACGTAATGCTTACTTGATACAATCTGTGAACGCATAGTCCGTAAAGTAAACCAAAAAAAAAGTCAAACGCTTAGTCAGAGCAAAATTATTCCTCTGATAAATTTTATTTACGGAAAATAAAACACAGGTTCTATTAACAAAACGCAAATCATCATTACACGGCCAGGTGATGCTTCTCACAGATATGCTGGAACGCATGGAAAGGGCCAGAAAATGGCGCTAATGCACCAAAAAAAAAGTCAAAGACTCCGCAAAAATCCTCTGATAAGTTCTACTCACAAAAAATATAACATAGGTTCCATTAAACTACTTGATTGTGGTCCCTCATCCCAACTCTTATTTTTGTATATATATATATATATATATATATATATATATATATGTTAAGAAATTGATTATTATACAAATATATCACTTAATTTCTCCAAGTCACTACTCGAAAAAAAAAACAAATCATGTTTCTAATTGACACAAGATGGATAGCGCAGCAGTTATTGAAATCACCCTCAAAAGGTAACAGTTGCAAGTGCGGTATTCGAAAATTTGAAGTTTTCTTACATAATGAAGGCTGAAATCAACAGTTTCATGGCAAAAAGGTCCAGTTTAGCTGGTCTGCGTTTTGAGATGTATCACAACTATACTGAGAAGCAAAAATTAACAGCTTAAATTATAATGGCTGTATACCTGGGCATGTGATAAATTTTTAACTGAAAACAAAATGACATAATAACTATGAAATGTGGATAACACAGAGATTCACGGATCAAGTCTTGGACGCCTCCCCAGTCTTACGAAAGCAAAATCAGACGCATCAGCATTACGGGCGCATTTAAACATTTTTGTAACTAAATAGTTACAAAATTTTTACCTGAAAGTGAGCTCTACAAAATTTACGGGTTGCTTCAGGTATGTGTGTCTGTACGTGTTCTTGAACTGTGTTCACAAAATTTCGTCTCCCTAAGTAGCGTGGTTGAGGAGCTCCAGAACTTTGAAACTTTTTCGTGTCATGCTAGATGTAGGGTGACGTGAAAATTTTTTTACGTGCACAATTTTACACATGGTCCTGGATCATGCATAAGAAATTTAAGCTTTCCGCTGTTTTAGTTTTGGAATTAAAAAATTATTAACATCAATTTGCCACACATTCTTATGTGAGATCTGAGGAGAGCAAGAAAGTTGTTTTCACCCGCTCAAACGCAAGACTGAACCAAGCTCACAAAACATTTCAGCTCCCTAGGCAGCATCCGCTGGATAAAGCTGTATAAAGTTTGCATTCGTACCGGTATCTAACACGATCAGCTAACTGTTTTTTTTTATGCGCTTTTCTATACAGCGCTATAACACTACTGCAGTAAGCCAAAAAATTTTTCATGTACAATCCACACCATAAACTCTAGGCTTGCCGGTGCAATCATGCGTCTTTTGCACTAAACCTAAATCACATAAGTCGTTAACTATATAAATGGTTGCTGCTTTACACTTATCTCGCACGTGCTCTAGCGTAACTTATCATAAATTTTGCCTAAAGAATAAATAGGAGCGCGAGCCAAAGGTAGCTGATGCGGTCATGCATTTTGTGCAGTTCTGTCCGGCGACGCTTGCCTATTAAAGATTTTCCTTTTTTTGCTGATCGTGTCCTGAGCTGTAAAATTTCAATTGAAAATTTTATACCAAAATGTGAAATGCAAACTTGGGTGAAACTTCAGTCTGAAACTTTGTGCAGTAATGGTTTAGACTACTAGCGCGGAGACTTTTTCGCCTTTTTGGTGCATTTACGTCAATTTCTGGTCCTTTTCGTGCGTGTCAGCATATTCGTGAGCTTCCTCATCCGGCCACATAATGGTAATTTGCATTTTGTTTGTGAATAGAACTTGTGTAAAATTTTCTGTAAATAGGACTTATGAGAGGATTAATTTTGCTCTGATTACGCGTTTGATTTTTATTTCTTTTTTTTTTTGGCCGCTTATACGTCCACAGATCATGTCAATTAAGCACCACGAGGATGGTACTGCAGTTGCATAAGACTTCAAGTACCATTCTTTTTTAACTCGTAACTTTCACCAGTTACGGCAAAGCGCACAAATTTTCCACCCATCACAATTTGACTTTATCGCACTATCACACGACAACTTACTTACTGCTGGTTTAACAGACCGCCTGTCTGTATACGAGATTAAAAAAGCGCACCTGACGCTCTATTGTGTGATGACTGGTGCTCAGATTAATACGATTAACAGAGAAAGAGACTAAAAGTTAAAATGCCAATAGTTTTGGAACTACGCTGTAGCCAAAGCAGTATAAAAGGCCAAAAACTGGGTTGGTTACACTACAGTAGCTTTGAGACCTCTGCACTTACCCACAGTACCGATTTGTAACTTCCCAGTCTGTCTCTTGCTCGGGAAGAGCAGTCAATGCATGCAGTTGCTTTAACCGCGAATTTTTCAGGATGAGCGTCTTCCACGTAACTCTGATGATATGCGTGGCGCCGTGGGTTGCGTCAGACACAGTACTGCGCACCAGTACCCCAGCCAGCAGCGGATCCGAATCTGAACAGTTACACTTCGTGGAATCGCATTTCGCCAGTGAGGACAAAAAAAGCAGCGGCAGTGAAGAATTCGTCATCGTTACTGGCAACGAAGAAATCAGCGACAGCGAAGACTTCGTCGTCGTTTCTGACAGCGAAGAAAGCGGCAATAGCGAAGGCCTCGTCGTTACTCATGTGGGTAGTGATTCCGATGCTGAGGTAATGCCAGTCCGATTTTCTCTATCTCCACGAAATGATTTGATCTTTGTACGATGTAGGAATATGTTGTGATTTCGCTGTGAACCGCTGGGCAAGCAATACTTTTTGGATAGAAGCTAGGATTTACTTTTGAGAGCGACTGACAACACACAGGGAGTCCAATTTAAGTATTATATTAGCAACGCACGCTGGAAAGCGTTGGTTACGTAAATTACGTAATTTGTGTATTTGTTTTTGTCCCATCGGTGGAAGGGAGTCTGTTGGAAACAAATTAACGCAGTTTTTCGCTTCCTAACCGCTAATCCGTGTATCATCGAATGCTATGCGAAAGAACGGGACATGTAACATCAGCTAACGAATAAAACGGTAGATCTACTTTCCAAACTACCCACAGATGTCAACAAGAGCAGCTGCATCCCACGCACGGGCTGCTCGTGCGAAGATCTCCGCAGTTTTTGTCGCTATTGGCACCACTTTTTTTGGTAAATGCTTCTAGCTTAACAAATTAACATTGGCTGCCAGAACTTTCACGAAGCACCCCCTTAAAATTTTAGCTTTCTAGTTTTCCTGACTCCTGAGTTAGCAACTTATGGGAAGAAAACTTTCACGGACCCGCGCGTGGGTGCTACGCATACCCGGGGGCAGGGTTTGAACTCATCAGTGCATACTTAGATGGGGAAAATCTCCTTGAAATTTCAGCTTTCTAGCTTTTCCGGTTCGCGAGTTAGCAACTTACTCGTAAAAAACTTTGGCGGGCTCTTAGTTGGGTACCACGCAGATAATGGCGCCCGTTTTGGGGATTGAGGCCCGTATGTGCATGTAGATTAAGTTCCCAAAGTTTCAGCCCTGCAGCTTCTATAAGTCTTGAGATGTAAAATCGGGACGGACGCACACAGATACACGGACACACACACGATCCCTCGTCAATATGCGTTTTTGCATTGAATAGCTGCAAAAAACGCCTAAAAAGTGGACAAGACGAGTCATGGGTCAGTACGTGCCCAAGTGCTGCAGCAGCAGAAGTACGCTGAAGGATTCTCTAGCATTTCGTAATGCGCACACGGTAAACTGTGAAACGCATAGGAAACTTTTACGTTCGTGCAATAAATATTTCTGTCGCAAGACGAAGACGAGCGCACTGCGAAATGTGCCGGTGTCACTACCTTTGAACCATTCCAAACGTACAAAGTCCCAACATCCAGGCTCTTGGTAAAGTCCGTTCAGAAGTTCCACAAGTGGCAGTTACATAGTGAGAATCCGTAATTCAAGATAGAGTTTGGTGTCTTCACTTACAGTTTAGATTACGTTCATTACTGCATCGGTATTTTTCAGGAAGCGGCAAATGTAGTGAATACCTCATCAAATCGCTTGGTGAATGAGCAAATCGTTGATAACGGCGATCTTCCCGAAGAAAATCGCGCACTGGACAAAAAGATAAAAAAGAAATATATATGGGTGAGGTTTTCAGCATTCTGTTGCGCATTTTGGCTTTGAAAACGGATTTCCATGCCACAAACGATAGCATTTAGCGGCAAATTTTTTCATCAAAACAAAATTCGATGGAAGCTCCGCTCTTTTCGCGGTTTGCCCAGGCACTTACCCATCACGCAGATGCTATAGTGCTAGAGCAAACCCACTATTCTAAAGAAACGAAACACACTATGCCTATGAGGACTTTGCTCGATTCAAATAACGTAGACTTCCAGTTAGTATGCCCTTGGTAACTGCAACAATAGTTCGCCTATTTTCAGGAACAAGTATGTATTACTATCCATTTAATCAACTTTTAGGCTCATGCTGGAATTTCGAACTGCGGAGATAGAAACAGTCTATTTCACTCGCAACTCGGTGAAATACCTGTATGTTTTATTAAAGCTACACATGAAAAAGGTATAGTACGATTAATGGCGGGGTGTTTGGTTGGTTATGAAAACTGGACCGTCAAAAAAATCCCAATGCGCAACATTGCGGAAGAAGCTGCAGATGTTTGGACCAAACCATCAGCCAAAATCACCGATCTGGTCGAGCAATTCAAGAAAGAGTCGGCGTTTTATGTGGAAAAAATGAACCATTGGTACTGTAGCGCCAGTTATGACGAAGGTGAAGCATTCAAAAGTAGACAAATTGCAAAGATTGCGAGAATTTACAGTGAAATGCATCCTGAATCTAATTCCTCTCATGTTCATGCATACAAAAAGCCCTTGGAAAGTTATCGTTTTTTGGTACATACATAGAAGAAGGCTGTTGGCCAGCAGCATTCTTTTATTGCCTTTGTTGGTACTCTGCAACTTATCGTAATTTTCTTCTGTCTTGAACGTAGAATGATAGAAAACTTACGGCGAGCAAACTGCTCGTATGTGTTCTTCGAAATCTCTAAGCTTGTCCGCACTGTCTTACTGTGGAGATTGTGCAAAGCTCCCTAAAATTATTACTGTCGCTATATTATTATTATTATTATTATTATTATTATTATTATTATTATTATTATTATTATTATTATTATTACTGTCATAGTCACTCTTCATAGTCACTACTGTTAATGTCATTATTATTGTTAATTTTTTTAATAATATGTTTCGTTGACCTTTCTGTGAAATTGCTGGAATTTCGATAAAGTTTTTAATCAGAGGTTGATAGAAAAGGTGTCATTTACAGTCCACGACTTCTCTTATCAAAGGATCATTTAGATCTGTATGAACGTTCTGCTAATGAATCACACTTTGCCCTTAGTTTAAGCGTATTGTAGCCGAGGTAAAAGTCTGCAATTTGACAATTGGTTGCTGCAGACAGAAATCTGATCATCAAATTTATTCATCAAAACTGTTTTGAAATGAGCAATTTCTTTGAAAATAGGAAAAGCTCCGATTTTGTTCCTGAACTGGTCCCAACTAACGTGTGCGTATCACAAGTAATGCAAAAATTACACCCTGTTTATCCAAGGGATCTTGTTGATCTCCGAATGATATTTAAAGTAGTGGAACTTTAGCTTTTTTCAAAAAAAAAATCTAAATTTTCTAAGCTCTAATTTTTTTTTCGAGATTTTTGAACGTTCAGGGTGTTGCATTATCGAAAAGCAGTCCCATGCCGGTTGGAGACGCCATGAACTTTTTTCTCATAATCTGCGCGCACTTTCACTGCCTTGCTTTTTCTTCCACTTT